TCGCCAATAACTTTCAACAATGTAAATATACTGTAGCGTGTTCATATTTGGGTAAACTACCACAACAAAAAACCATATTAAATGTATTACACCAAAAGCTTGTGTAGTGTAAATATCATAATAACTGTGTCGATATAATTCTCCAATACATAAAAATATTTTTCTGTATGGTTCATACAACTTAAGAGGAACTCCGAAACATGTAGTGACGTCTTTATGTAGCTCAAACAAATTGGTGATTGGCTAGATTTGAACTCGGAACCTCAGGATATATGCACCGCTCTTCAACCACGACACTAGACCACGACACTAATGTAATACTAGTTACATTAGATACTGCGTTTATTTCTACATCGTGGTCGAAATAGAGGACACCCCTTTGCCCTGATTCGCTATAGCTAGTTGTTATGCACTAACTCAGTAACTACCACTATAGCTGGGTAGGTACCGTATAGCGTGTCTTGGCTACCTTATCTACCCGACACCTATATATCTTCATGACCTTTTATTTTTAGAGCTTACCCTCGGTTTGAAGTTGTGAAAAGAGTAATTTATTTCGTAATGATTGTATAATTTGTGTTTTTGTGGTGTTAGTCATTTATGTGAAGAAATGAGACTCTTTTTTCAATTTTCATAAATATAAGAATCTTTTCCACCCTAATAAAAATTGCATTATAATGTGTCTCCTTAATGAATTCTTCACGCCAAAACAAAAAATGCAATAGTTTTCAGTCGGAAAAGTTCTAAAAATCCGGAAAATGGTATTACATTTATAAAAAATATGGTTAAATTAAAGGTTCCGATTGTAGTTCGGAGCAAGCCCAAGTTCTTGCGGTGACTTTTACTTTAAGGAAAGGAAGGTGTGAAGATTTTCTTTCTACTGACAGCCTTTTTCGAATTCAGTGTGAAAAATACAGGGTATTTTCTATAGTTTAGGCCGTTTATTGGCTCCAAACAAATTTTTAAAAACTCTTATTTCTCATTATTTCAGTCAACTTCGATATTATTATATTAACAGAAGGTAGCCTGCAAACCAATAATTTTGGGACAGGACATTGACCAATGAATGCTCTCAGAGTATACTAAGAAAGTTCCCCGGGCAAAGCTTGGTCCCTAGGTACTGTAATTAAATACAGTATATGAAATGAAATTAAATGAAAATACTTCATTATTGAGGCGAACTTAGGACCTCATGGTCCTTTCTTACAGCTAACCTCTATTTTAACGAAGAAATAACATAGACAATTTAATTAAACGACTATAAGCTGGCCTAGTTTAAAATCTGATAATGGCAGGTACGTAAAGAACGACTAGATCAAAATGAAGTAAAAAAAGCAATTCAAAGTGGAAGGAGTACATACAAACATGAATAACATAACAATAGTAGTATTGTATTGTACGACAAATAATTATAAAAGTATAAATTCAGCATGGATACATTTTAATTATTAAATCGATAAGCCCACTCTTTTAAATTTCTTTAAGAAATTAAATTAACGTTTCATAACAAGTACATCAGTAGTGTTTCCATATTATGCTATGATATACTTATTGGCCTTTTCCCCCTTTGAATAGGGTTCCAATATTTTGGCTGAGCTAAATTAGGACACAAATCCATTGAAGAGTTGGTAAAGGGATCTTTAATTTACTCATCCTAAGTTAAGAGCAAATAAATGTTTTGCCATGATTATGCAATGCTTATTGTAATATCTTGTTGTGAAAGTATCATATCTTATTATTTTTGTTTATTCATTATTCAGATTCAGATTTAATATAGATAAAAAAATATTTATTTTATTGTGGGAAACCAGGACATATTACTGTCTCGAGATCTTATTGGAACACCGGCAGGGTGTACACATTCTGGAAAGTCAGGGATAGTCATGGAAAGAAGCAAAATGTCGTGAAAAGTCATGGAAATCCCCAATGATGGATTTGAGGCGACTTCCAATGCTTAGTCGGCCGTAACCATGACTTTTTTTAGGAAAAAGGAAAGTGGAGAGAGAACTTGGACAGATGGGGACGAAGGAGGCTAGGTTTTATTTTTTCCTTCCTTATTTTGAATACCATTTTCGTGCAAAATTTATTACTCCATTGTTATCTGTTACATATTTCAGTATTTTCTGTGAAATAACTTGTCTAGGCAGTATTATTCGTGTGGATGTTGTATTTTAATTTTCGAGGGAAGTTCGTGAAATATGGAAATCAATGCTTAATGGTCATGGATAGTCAAGGAAAGTCATGTAAATTAATGACACATTTTCTGTAGCCACCCTGACCGGGACTTAACAAAACCGCCGGAACAAATGGCAACTATACTGAAGCAGTTAAAATTCGCTTGTAACGCGTACAGAAAATATTTATACGTTCCTCATAACGATTCCTACGTAACAGTTTCTGCAACCGTTACTGTCCAAGGCCAGTTACGACACATCCTGTAACCGTTGTCTAAGCAGTGGAATACCTGAACTAATGAATCGTATTTAAATGTGTGTTCTGTTGTGGCATATTGCTAGGAGACCGCCGCGACATCGGGTATTGATTTAGTTCTTTGAGCCTACTTTTATCATCCTAAGTGCTATACTTCTTTGTAGGTTATGATAAATTTTTATGGCCTCTGGTTTGTGTTAAATTACGTATAATGGCTAAAAATACCTCGTCAGACAGCATAGATTTACTACACGCTACGTGGTAAAGATTGCTTGACGAGGATTGTTTTTAGTCATTTGTCCTGTTGGTTGATTTTTCGGTTTGCTGAAATTGGTTGCTCGTAACCGTAAATCAAAAATTCGATTATGTATTAAATATATATCCTAATCTCGAAGTTAACTCCGCCAGTGACTCGTCAAAAAGCGATCGCGAGATAACTTACTAAGGTTGAGAGATTTTTGTACTCTTTTGAAAAATATATTTAATTGAATAAATTATAAGGAAGTGGTTATTGTTTAAGAGTCCTTTACTTTACTTTGAAATAGCGACCATACGAATGTAGGTGCCAAGTATGAATGGAGATGAGTGGTGCGATCTTGTAGACTTATTAGTGACTAAGGCCGACATGTTTTTATACACAGTTGTTAATTAATAGCTCAGCAATGGCAACTAAGGGATCTACAGTTTATAGTGGAATCCGAACCACATTTTTTGCCTTTTAATTAGCGAATTGGTCTAATCAGGATTGTACTGCGGATAGTCGTAGTGCTCACTAGTGCGGACGTTCCACACCAGGGAGTATCGCATCCACAGTTCATGCCTATAAATATCCACAAATCACAAGTTTCATTCCATAACGTGCCTTGACCTTCTGACCTTAATTCAGATTTAATGTTTGTCAAGTAAACACACTTTCGTGAACGCCTTGTCTAAACACTTCACCCCCCCCCCCCCCCAGATCATCGACTACCCCTCCCCACCTCCAGCTGATAATTTACGACATAGTTTAGAACCCCTTAAAACATCAACGCTGATTTAAAAGCCATTTTATGGCCTTGTTAAATTGATCAAAGGCGGTTCAGTCTTTCTGTTTAGGCCCTAATAAAAACTTTAGACTAATTATTGAAAATTAAATTAAAGTCAACTAATTAGAATAGTTACAGTTTAAAGTGGATTTTGACACCAAATCAAATCAAATCAAAATAGCATTTATTCCGCCAAAATATTTACAAATTTCATCATGTTAGTTCCATACAAATATGTTTTCAATATTGTTTGGTTTTTTAATAATATAAAATTTAATATAAACATAAAAATATAAAAAAGCTTATTAAATTAGCGAAATATCTTCCACAAAGAAGGAATACCTCTGTGTGTGGAAGAGAGTCGTATTGTATATATTTATAAATTTTTTTAAACTAAGTGATGAAGGAAAAAGGTATTTTAGAAGAAAAAAAAGAAGATTTTGGAATAATAGATACGCTGGAGGACTTAATGGTAAGTGAATGTAATACTATATTAGACAATTAGTGGACCCTTCCCCCCTCCCAACACCCAATCACCCTCCCCCCAAGTACCATAAGTAGAGTTGGGGTTTTCCTCAGATGAAAAAAACTTAACTTATAACACTCATTACAACTAACAATACACAAAAAGCCCAACCTATGTTGGAATACACTACAGAGAGTAGCAGTCAAAAAATATGCACTGTATAGCAATAGTCAATGATAGCAGTCAAGTCATGATACAACATGCAAAAAATAACCAATCACAAAACACTATAAAAGGTGTAGGGTAAACAGCTCACACAAAGGAACAGTAAGTCGCACAGTTCGCAATGTGTGCAATATGTTCGGTCATATTAAATATGTAGCTTGTTTAAAATAAATGGAACTTAGTCCGATTGAGTTGTTGACTTGTGCTACTAAAAATGTAGCATATTTCAACAACGTTTAAATCTTTTTAACTGAATATAGCAATACATATGACCTATTGCTTGACCTAAGGCTTTTAACCAATGAGTAAAGGAAAAATCGTAATAAAACACCTCAAAATAGATGAGAGATTTAGTCAAGATTATTGTACTCAATAATGAATACACATCAGAATAGGAGCTCTGCTACAAGGTTTACAATGAGTTGAAAAGTCCAACTGCGCTATCCAAAGTCAATGCCTGAAACAAATAGTGAACAATTAACCGCCCTTGACATAGAAGAGAACTAACATTAAATTTATCTTCAGCTGATTAATTAAAGATAATAAATGTATTAGGGATTTTGATAATCTACGCTTCACATTTTACAGTTTGATGAAAAATCCACTTGCTGTACCAGAGCTAACTACACAACTTAATCGCGTAAAAAAATGTTAATTCAAACTAAGTTTCTTTGAGTAAAAAACTTTGTAACAACTGAGGAATTGCAACGACGCGATATCAAGTTTTACAACGTATATTGCGTAATTTAATCGGTCACCAATTAAGTACTATCATTGTCTGATCGTGAGTAGATAGTACAATATTCTTCCTCATTTGTTTGTTTACTAAGCAAATTGTCTGGTTTTGTTTTCAGCTCCTGTGTTCAATGTGTGTGTCGTAATGAATTGTTTGCGTTGGTGGCAGAAAAAGATGCAAGACCCCCACGAATTTAAGGTAAGACATTTTCCTTTAGTTCTTAAATTGGTTTTTTGGTTATTTTATTTTGTTTTGTGTCTGTGGATTTGATTGGTTTTCTTGAGTTGTTTTGTTTATGATTAATGTATGGGTAGTGTGACAGGGATGAGAAAATATTTAGCCTATTACAAAACTTTTTTTGGGATATAGGCCTCGATATGCCCCCTTTACGTTAACAAATTTTTGTTTTGTCTTCTTATCCAATGCGAGCATTTTGAGGTTATTCTAGGTCCGAGGGCGGATTTTAGGTCCCGAAACGTCAAACACAGCATATTGTGAATAATCCATGGTTAATGGCACATTTTAGGTTAGGTTGGGAAGGAGTGGATTTTAGGTCCCAACACGTTAACTACTGAATATGGTGAATGACTGATAATAAGGGGAACATGTTGAGTTAGGTTAGGTAGGGAAGGGGCGGACTCTAGGTCCGGACTTAACTATAGGTTGTTGTGAAAGGGTAATGGGAAATAATACAGCTTAGGGTATGCCCGTTCCCCTACCTAGTAAGGTAAAACAATTATTTTCTGTTTATTACCCGTATGTACATTGACCATATCTTATTTACATTAGCGTAGGGTAAATTTCAATAGTGGAGACCCTAACAAATGACTCATTCTTCTGCCAAACAGGGTAGCAATCTGGTTTAGTGGTATAGTTCGAGACTTGGGTCCTCGAGGCTCCGGGTTCAAATCCAGCTAATCACCAATGGTTTTTATCCTTTGATGATGCTGCGAGCCTCTAGACCCACCCTTTAGTGTTTACGGTTCAGAGTTGGTCTCTAGCGTCCCAAAATGTGAAGGTGAGGCAAAAGATTCATTTTCCGTCAGTAAATAGGTCATTCTCATGGCGCCGTGATCTCCGAAGAGTGTTATAAGGATGTGAGAGTGCAACGTCGGTCGCGAAATTGACGCAGAGGCGTCATAGATGAGGATATGACGTCACTACATTGGCTACACCTTCCACGTCCTATCTGCAACGTGAGTCACTCACCGTCGTAAACATTGTGAATACATGGAGGATTTGTGGATACAAAGTTGTCGGTGTTAAAATATCTCTTTTAATCCCCAGGGGCTACTCATGTGAATTATAAATATATATAGATGATCAGATGAAAACACACAAAAAACATACACACCCGTCGTAAGAACAGGAAGATTAAGAAAATTCCTGATATGAAATGAAAATCAGAAAGAATCGACCCATCTCGTTAACTGTAGCCATAACTGTAAGCGATTTTATTTATTGAACTCCGTTAAGTACTACAAGAGCCAGGTAAACTCTTAAGTTATTATTTTAATTACGTTTCTCCACTGACCTAACCGAGTTTATTTCAGAGATAATGCCATGAAAGAGTATACATTTAATGGTAGATTTGTTAACTATTTTCGTGTGACCAACATGATTGGCATAGTGTGAATAACTGTACGTTAATTATGATACTATCATTAATTCATCTCATTGTGAAGCAATTTGACTCAAACGCACCCTTGTAATCAACGAGACAAAAAGTCCACAATAAAAACGGTGGAAAAACTCAAGGGCCTTATGGGTGAGGATTTTTTCATGTCTAATCAAACTGGAGGTTACCTGGGCCGCGCAACATCTGTGGGGCAGATGAACGGAAGGAAACATCCTCCACATTGGTATGGTAATGTGCAACAAGACCTGGGTGAAAGACCGGTACGGCACGAGCCACAACCCCTTGAACCCTTGTCAATCTAACGTTCACTTTCTGCAGCGGAATTTGGAGTGCTTTCAGATGTGGGGTATTTTGACTTGGTATATAACATGATCCAAAAATTTGAACTTCACTTCAAGTAGGAGACGTAGTTGACATTCTCCTCCTGCAAATTAATAATTGTCAACCCATGATTTTGTACATTCCTTTTGTTTTGTTGGAATTATTCAACCCCGTCCCCTTCTTGACGGATTTTTTTTTAATCCAAGAATCAGTTTCTGCAGCAAGGAGCAAACTTTGGGGTGTTTTCAGATTTATGGGACATTTTGACTCGGTAATGATCATGCTCCGGAAAATTGGAACTATACTTTAAAGGAAACGTAGTTGAAATTCTTCCACTGCAAAGTATTGTAATTATTTTTAACCCATTTATACGTGTAGTTTGCCTTGGTGGAACTGTTCAACCCTTGTTAATCTAACATTCACTTTCTGTAGGTAGAGCAAAATCTGGAGTGCCTTCAGGTGTAATTGGATATTTTAAGTGGGTAAATAGTTGACGTTGTTCTACTGCGAATTAACAATTGTTAACTCATCAATTTATACGTGCAGTTTTTTCTATTGGAACTATTCAACCCTTGTCAATCTAACGGTCACTTTCTGCAGCAAGGGGAAAAATCTGGAGTGTTTTCAAATGTACATATTTGGATATTTCGACTATGATGATAATTATCATGATCGAAAAAGTTAGAACTACACTTTAAAGGCTACGTAGTTGGCATTAATTCACTTCAAATTAATAATTGGTAACCCATGATGTGAATTTTGATAAACACTTGATGTATCTGCCAAGTGTTAATTTATTACTTCAATTTTATGTTTTGCCCAACCATAAAGGAGTACACCCCGAAAAGGAATAGTCTCTGTGGCCAACGTGGATTGTATTGAACGCATATTGTATTATTCGCCTTCTTCTCACTGCAAGTGCCAAACTAATGTCGTTGATGTCAAGTCCTGTCGCCAGTTGTGTCGCTAGTGATTGGCAGTGGGCGGCTGCTAACAAGGAAGCTACGTGCTCCTCTGGATATTAGCACATTTCACAACAGCTCCAATAGCTTTTACCGCGAGGTAACAACGAGTATGATAGCTTTCACCCTGAGGTAATAACAGCTCCGATAGCTTTTACTCTGAGGGTTACAACAATTTCGATAGCTTCTGCTCTGAGGTAACAACAGATCCGATAGCTTTTACCCTGAGGTAACAGCAGATCCCTGCGGTAACAGCAGATCCGATAGCTTTTACCGTGAGGTAACGACAATTTCGATAGCTTTCACCTTGAGGCAACAAACAAAAGACCCGATAGCTTTTACCCTGAGGTAACAACAACTCCGATAGCTTTTACCTTAAGGTAACAACAGATCCGATAGCTTTCACCCTGAGGTAACAACAGATCCGATAGCTTTTACGCTGAAGTAACAACATATCAGATAGCTTTCACCCTGAGGTAACAACAGATCCGATAGCTTTTACCCTGAGGTAACAACGGATCAGATAGCTTTTACCCTTAGGTAACAACAATTTTGATAGCTTTTACCCTGAGGTAACAACAGATCCGATAGCTTTCACCCTGAGGTAATAACAGCTCCGATAGATTTTACCCTGAGGTAACAACAGATCCGATAGCTTTTACCCTTAGGTAACAACAATTTTGATAGCTTTTACCCTGAGGTAACATCAACTTCGATAGCTTTTACCCTGAGGTAACAACAGATCCGATAGATTTTACCCTGAGGTAACAACAGCTCCGATAGCTTTTACCCTGAGGTAACAACATATCCGATAGCTTTTACATGAGGTAACAACAGATCCGATAGCTTTTACCCTGAGGTAACAACGATTTCGATAGCTTTTACCCAGGGGTAACAACAGTCTCGAAGAAATATCATTCAAAGAAGGATCATTGGGACCAACTAAAGTATATCTCCCCAGCGCAGTGTGGAGTGTTGATTTCTGCTAACCAGCCCCGGACAGATGGGGCGTGTGCCGCGCGTGGCGTGTGGCGGCCTGTCTGGTAGCGGGATCCACAAGGTGTTCGCCCTCACCCTCAACCCTCACTTCCTCCCTCGCAGCCTCCGTTGCCATCTGCGAGGCCGAGACGGTATTGTGTCGTGCCGGACAGTTTGACACACCTGCTGTCCCGTGTCATCCACTCGTCTGCAACTTCTGCAATTGGATTTGTTTTAAATTTGATAGTTGAATTGAATTTGCTTTAGGAGTGCTGAACTTTGTTTATCTTAAAGAATACCTAGAATATTTGACAAGTCAGGCTACAGGAAGCTTCGAAAATGATAATCAGCAAATTTAGATTTTTTAAAATAATTTGATTTTGTTTTGGAAATTTGAAACTTTTGTCATTTCAAAAATACTTTTGGACTGATACCAGAAGCTGCTAGAAATGGTTTTCGTAGTCGTCAAAATTGGATTCTAGTCGAAGTTTTTCATAAACTTAAAAGGATGACGCTTTTTTATTTTCTAAGAACACGTTTGGACTAGGATGTTCAGGTCTTTTAGGGAGAGATGCGTCGATTTTTCATTCTTGTTAGAAAATTCATTATCTACTTGAATTTTGAAAATTTTGCAAGAATACTTCTGAATTGCGTGTTTGACGTATAATTTTATCGAATGACTCTTTAGGTGGATCAGGTTCATTGACTTGTAGCTTGGTCAGGTTCTGACCTGATAAAGCTTCTGAAATCCAAGATGTTCAATTTACTGTTAGAGTTCTGAATGGTTTGTTTTTCGGGAATAGAGGTTTATGGAATAAAATTCCAAAAAAATTCTAGCCGATGTTTTAACATCGAAAATGTTGAGCTTTTATATTTCAAGAGTACTTCAGAACCTTGAATTTTAAATTGTTTATTTTCTAGTCAAATGTTCGTTGCCTTTTTTTTTACTTGAGTGATTTCATACAAAACTGTGGCTCGCCCACCCGACAATCTAAAGCATTTTCATATTTCGAAGTGTTTCTAAATTGTGTCTCCTCCATTCAACGATTTGTGGCAAAGCACCAACTGATTTCAGCTCTCAAGACTATAGCAATATTAATATTCACTCGTCTTCGCCTTAAAATTTGTAATCTTGTGGAGCGTCAAAAATCCAATAGTCTTTTGGCATCTAATGAAAAGCAAATGGTTTCGAAATTCATTTTTGATAATCTTTACTTCCAAGCGAGCTCTCTGAAGATCCAGGCAAAATGGGTTGAAGTTGACAAACCATTCGCAAACTGTTGAAAACTCCTGTTCTC